GTTGAGATGTTTGAGAATGTGCGGAGTAAGGAAGCGTTTTCTCGAGTGAGCGGTGAGTAGAGCTGTAGGCGCTAAATGTAAGGCGTTGGATTCGTGGTATTGAAACGCATCGCATATTACTCTTCCTCCGCCTCCTCCTCCTCCTCCTCCTCCTCCTCCTCCTCCTCCTCCTCCTCCTCCTCCTCCTCCTCCTCCTCCTCCTCCTCCTCCTCCTCCTCCATCTGTCTTCCTCCTCCTCCTCTCCTGCTGCAGCTACGGCAAGGACTTCAGCATCATGACCACGACAGACCCGCAGGTGCCTACCGCTTGTGTATGACGAGGCCTGACGGCAGCATGGAGGTTATCGACGCGGGTCAGTTCATGTCGAGCATAGAAGACGAGATCGCGTCTGTCATGCGCCAATACGAGTAGCGAGAAGCTCCCGTGACAAGACGACAAACAAGTGAAAAGAGTTTATGAACAAATCCATGATGTAAACTACCACATTATGACAGCAATAAAGTTTCTGCGACTACACAACCGAACATGCACGACCTCAGGCTCGGCCCTCATCCCCCTAACCCGCAACTTTCTCAAGCATCTCCCTGAGCTTCTCCGTCGGTTTCGCTCGCCCTGACCGACGAACTTTCTCTCATCCTCCTGCTCATCCCTGCAGGCCTGTCAGCCACCAGGCAAGCCCAAGGCCTCACCTCACCTCATGCGTGGCCTCGACGTTCATCCGCATGCTGTCGATGCTGTCCGCTACCTCGAGGAAGTGATGCTTTGCGATGTTGACGACCTGGTCACACGCGATAAGCTCGAGGGAGGGGAGAAACGAAACCCTTACGGTAGTCAACATTGACGAGGTTTTTCTCAGTTCAGTGCGGATGATGTTGTACTGAACAACCCAGTAATACCTGCACCTCTCGTTAAGCACACAGGCAGCACATCAGTCTTCTCCTCCTCCTCTCGCTCTCTTACTTCGCGTTGTGCATCTCAGGGATTCGCTCGACAAGCTTTCTGAAACGCGAGACCTGTGGAGATGTGAGCGGCCGCATGGTGACCGACAGAGTCTCTCACGTCTGATGCTGCTTCATCGAAGACAGACTCGTCCACCTGTCGCTCTCACGTCAAGCATGGAAGCGCTTGCCACAGCAACACTCACTTGTACCACAGGAGGGTTAGTCAAGTACACCCCGGTTTGAGCAGCCAGCTGCGAAAGAGCAGTGTGGATGGCGTCCAAGCGAACCTGGTGTCGTGTTGAGCGATATTCTCTGAGCATTTGCCTCTCCTTCCGCCTCCTCCTCACCTGCAGGTCGTACTGGGGATTGAAGACCGTTGGGTCTACAGACCAGATTGCTCTTCGGAGCATGACAACACATGTGTGCCTGACGTTCACAGCATCAGCCACATCAACCAAGCTAACAAGTCTTACCCAAGCTGCACAAGCTCCTGAAACGTCTGCCTGGTTTCTCTCTCCTCGTCGCCGAGAACAGGCAGGCGATCTCCCACGTTGCTATAGTAATGCACTTGATGCGGCAGTTGGGTACCGCGCAAAACCTTCTTTTGCATGTCCGAGCGAGCCTGAACACGAGCACACCAATCATAACAAGGTAAGCATAGCCATGTTGAGATACCACTCGGAACATGTTGATCGAGGCTCTGCCATCCTCCAACCATCTCTCAGGCGCTGTCAACACTGCAAGTCAGCGGGACTTCAGCCGCCTTGTCACGTCTAGTTGACCTGTGACAGGCTTGCCGTAGTAGGGAGCAGGAGAAGAAGACTCAAGCACGACGATGGCGAGGGCGAAGGCCGCTGCTGCTGCCGCCACTGCCAGGAAGGAGACGCGCGCGCGCCGCTCGAAGGGAGACAGCATGCCCGCCCGGTTCTATTTCTGGAAGCGACGAGGAAAATTAATGTAGGGGTACTCAAGCTGAGTAGGAGGGGTACTCGAGAGGTCTTTGAGTACCCCTCATATTCAGGTCTGAAACGGGGGTACTTATTTTCCGGGAGATTGGCAATGAGCAATGTCGAAATGCACGAGAGGGGAGGGATAGTGCGAACAGGCAGGAGAGAAGAGGAGGAGAGAGAGAAGGAGAGAGAGAAGGAGAGAGAGAAGGAGAGAGAGAAGGAGAGAGATGATGAAGAGGAGAAGGGGGATCGCAGATGCAATCATGAGGTGAAGGTCTCTGACCAGGAGGCGGAATCAACGGCGCAGGAAGAACGACGGCAACGCAAGGCCGGATTTGCCTGCAGTGGTCCTTACGAACCATGGAGACAGAAGGGAGGATGGAGCTTGAAGTACGAGCACGAGCAAGCAAGGATGAGCGAGGGAGACTATGTGAGGCTGAGGAAAGAGCTTGCTGGTGAGCAGGGTAGTCGTAAGAGCATGTACGGGGAGGACTCGGACTTCGAGGCGAGGAAGGCGCGAGCGGAGCTTCTCTTCCTCAGGGAAGACTATGCTGCTTGTGCCTTCGAGTGGATGGACATGCTGAGAAGCTTCACGATCAGCCGCAAGGGCACAGGAGGGCTGCGACTTGAGGCTCTCGATTCCATCATGCGCTGCCTGGTGGCCATGGAGCCGCTGCTTGAGGAGGATGCTGATGCTGTGCTGGAAGACATGAAGGCGCAGGTGGGTGAACACCACGAGCATGTCCTCAGCGAGGTCACGGTGCGTCTTCTCGCGAGGAAGCGACAGCAGGAGGGTTCGTCCTCCCGCTTGCCGCTGCTCAAGAGCCTCGCGGAACACAATCCCTCGGACCCGAAGCTGTGGGTCGATCTAGCAGAGGCCTACTGGGAGAGGAGGGAGGAGGAGGAGGCGAGGAGGAGAGAGGCCTCTGCCGTCTTGGCTCGACGTTGCGTCAGGTTTGCCGGCAGAATGATCCTGCATGCGGCCAACGCGAGGCAGTGCCGCGTGACCATGCAGCACCATGAGCGAGAGACTGAGAGGATGCGAACCCTGCTGCTTCGACATGCCGAAGCCTCAGGCAGCCACGACCGGGAGGAGGAGGGTGAGAGGCTTGTAGCTGAGGTGGTTGAAGGAAGCTTGAGTGAGAAGGAGGAGGAGGTTGTGAAGCAGCAGGCGGACGAGTTCGAGGTCAAGTGGCTGCTGGGACGGCAGGGGGAAGAAAGAATCGCCTCCTCCTTCAAGGAAGCCTCGCCCAGCATACGCGACATGTCAGGGTAGCATCGTGCTCTAGCGGGAGCTTAAAGAATAAGATTAGATTACAAGCTCAGCGCCTCCTCCCTCACGCGCCTCCTCCCTCCTGCTCAACCCGGTCACTTCACCTTGAAGCTTGTCCTCCTCACTCACCTCAAGCTCTTTCTCGAGCGCTGCTAGATCCTCGTCCGTCAACCGCGTCAACCCTCCTTCCCATGCCGGAACAAGTGCTCCATCCCCCGCCTCCTCTTCATCCAACTTCGCCTCCCACTTGTCCAAATCTTCTTCCTCGATTCCTTTGTTTTCCTCTCCGTTCCATCCCCCATAGTCTTGGCCACTGCTCTCGTCTTCTCCCCAGCCCATCTGCTCCCTCCACGACCCTGCCCCTGCCCCTGCCCCTGCCCCTGCCCCTGCCGCATCCTCGTTTCTAATCTTCCTGCCCCAGTCGCCCAACTCCTCCAGAGAGTTTGTTCCTTCCAGTTTCCCCAAGTCTAGACGCTCCTCCTGCTCTTCGCTGTGTCCCTTCCTCTCCTCCTCTCCCTCCATCATGTTCAGCGGCTGGTACCCTTCCAACAGCGACCCTTCCTCAACATCCAACAAGGAGGGATCAAGCTGCTCTCCCGCCCTTTGCTCGTCCCCCCCCGTCAGCACGAGCTCAATCGCTTCATCCCGCTTGCTCCCCGTCCCCTTCGCCTTCTCTCCTACCCCCAGCCTCGCGTCCCCTGGCGCAGATGACCAGTCGCTCTCTTCGTCAAAGCCGACAAGCTGGTGAGCAGTCAGCAAGAGGAGGGGAAGGAAGAGGAGGAGGTGATGGAGGGAGTGGGGATGAGGGGGGGGACGAGGAGCATGCGAGGAATCGGATGCCACCTGATGTATGAAAGTCTCTGCTCGAGCGGAGAGTGACTGCGCGAGGGCAGTTCCAAGGAGAGCAGAGGAGAGGGAGCGAGCCAACTGCGAGAGTGGATGAGAGAAGGAGAGAAGGAGGAGCAACATCACTTGAGATTGACATCGGAAGGTCAGAAGGTGAAAGTTTCTTTCTCGCTCCTCCATCATCAACTGTTGTCAACGTCAGACATGTCGGATGATGCAGCAAGTCTCACATCCTCCTGTCTCTCCTCCTTCCTCCCGTTCTCCCGGCCCAGTTGCTTGTGAATTCCTTGCAGCAGATGTCCATCCTCCTCCTCCTCCTCCTCCTCCTCCTCCTCATCCGCGAAGACAGAGAACCTGACTGAGAGTCAGACGCTTCCCTACCAGCTCGCGACTGACCTCGGCGTTGCCGGTGCGAGCATCCCCTCGTCATCCTCCACACCCCCCATGTCGAACCAGCCGCTGCCTCCCTCCTCTTCCGCCTCATCCGAGAAACTTCGGAGCAGACGGACGGACTTCATACGAAACCTTGCCGCACGGATCAGCGAGGGTGAGAAGGAAGGGAGCGAGAGAGAGGAGGAAGGGGATGGAGAAAGAGGAAGAGGGAAGGGGGATGGAGAAGGAGGTAGAGGGAGGGGATGGAGAAGGAGGAAGAGGGAAGGGGGAGGAATCTCACCGAGAAGCCACGACTGCCCAGTCCATCCCCTTGATGCGGTAGAATGCTCGACAAGCAGCGATGGCCTGACAAGCAGATGAGATGAAGAAGAGATAGAGGGAGAGAAGGGGAAGAGCGAGGCGATGAGAAGAGGAGGAAGAGGATGCTTTCACCTGTCCAACCGTCATGGACCAGAAGAGCCCGAGGACAGCCACATCGGCGAAGTAGATCATGATCATGCTGAAAGACTGTGAGAGAACAGAAGAGAAAGACAAAGGAAGGAAAAGGAGGAAGACGAGGAGGAGGAGGAGTAGAAGGAGGAGGAGGAGGAGGAGGAGGAGGAGGGGGTCGCATTCTACTGTACCTCACAGGGATGGTGATGACGAACGCTGCTGCAAGTCGCAACATCAATGTGAATCTTCTCGAGCCTGACGCCTGGGAGGGATGAGAGAAGGAAAGAGGAGGAGGTGCGACAGACCTCCAGCACCGAGAAGCAAGCGGCTCCTAGTCCACACCAGGTCTGCCAGAGAGCAGCAAGAGGGAGGAGGTGAGCTGTGGAGGCGACGATGAGGTCGTCATGGGAGAAGAAGAGGGAGAGAACTCCTCCGATGAACAGCAGCGACAGCGATGCGATAACTCCCCACCCCAGACACATGAAGATCGTCAGCCAGCCCGTCCCCTTGGCCGCTCGCCCGTCCCCCCTGCAGTGACGTCACCGAGACAACGAGGAAGAGGATGGGGAACCTGCGGAGGGAGGAGGAGATGAGGAGGAGGGCGGCGTCGGCAAGAGCGAAAGGAGCTTGATAGAACATCATGGCGAGGTAGTCGAGGCAGATGAAGAGAATGAGAGCCTGAGACCCTAAGGTGGCCGCCAGCAGCAGCGGGACCTGAAGAACGAGATGAGGGAGGGACGAGGGAAAGCGAACGACCTGCGACACGAAGGCGAGAAACATCCCTGAGAGAGCGAGAGGAAGCGCCTGAACAATTCATGAGGAGGTTGAGGACAGCACAGGATCAGGGACAGATGAGGAGGAATCGACAGGGAGGAGAGGGGAAGTGGAAAGAGGAGGCAGCAACCTTGAGCGAGAGGATGAGCAGGGGGTGAGGAAGGAAGGCATCCATCGTCAGCGCCCCGAAGGAGCGATCATGCAGTCGCAGCACCAGTACATGCCCGCACACGTACAGCAGCTCCACTGTGCGTGACGCCACGCTCGCGCTCGCTGCCCCTGCGACGCCTCCAGCCCATCCGTAGACGAGGATGAGGTTGAGGAGGAGGTGTACGGGCAGGGAGAGGAGCGCTCCAGTGTAGACGGGAAGGGAGTAGCCTTGAGCAAGCATCCACAGCGACGCGAGCTGAAGCAACAGCTCCTGCGTCACTCCAAGGATCGAGATGCGCAGAAACGTCATCGCATCCTCCACCATCGCGTCCTCCACCCCCAGCAGCTCCCACAAGGGATACGCCGCCTGCCACACCAGCGCGAGGAAGAAGGAGGAGACTACGCAGAGCACTGCTCCTCGCTGGACCCACAGCCCCGCCTCCTTCACCCTGGTTGGCGACGAGAGGGCACGGCAGATGCGCTGATCGAGAGGAGCGAGGAGAGCAGAGGCTAGGGGCTGTTGGCTCATGCTCATGATGCTGCGGGATAGAGCGACGGCACAGAGAGCAGAGGAACTCTTGTGTCCTGCAGCTGCCAAGGTGATGACGAGTCGGGAGGTCTCAAGGAAACGAGGAAGGAAAGTCTTGCTGCTGGCGTCTAGCAGTGGCCACAAGCTGTCGCGCCAATGCGGAGGAAGCATCTCAAGCAGACGCTCCCTCGCATCCACAGACGTCGCCTCCTTCCCTCCCGCCGAGTCGCGGAGGATGAAGTAGCAGTCGTCGCATACCTGCAGAGAGATGAGACAGGGACGAGGAAGCGACAGAGAGGAATGGGGAAGAGGAGGCGGGAGACAGCTCTCAGTGCGAGGGGAGGAAGGGGAAA